TTTTATGCTTCCTATGTTTTACATCTAGAAGTGACCACCATGGTCGCCTGGTTTGATCCCTTCCTTAATGTAGACTGAAGAACCACTGTCAGGCTTTAAAACTTCTGGGCCTTCCTTCCTAAATATAAATTAGCTGCCAAAGCATGACTGAAAAGGGTATTTAAAATGAAAATAGAAAGAGGAAGAGAGTACAATCAAAGGCACTGTTTATTTAAATTTCACAGCAACTAAATTCCTGATGTTTGCAATACTCCTGCCTTGACCTCTATCTAGACAGCATTATGATACTTTCTTCGTTGCTGATATTGAGGCACATACAATCGAGGGCATATCATATTTTATTTAAACACACTGCAGAAGGGCATTAAATTTTACAGGTCAGATTCTCCATGGTGCTTGAGCAAAGCTGGGGCTGCAGGGAAGAGCAAACAGCCAGCTCATGCGACAGCTGACAAGGTGCAGTTCCCTTTACCCTTCGCCTTGTTATGCCCAGACAGGTCCCTCAGCCAGACACACCCTTCCCTCCACCTGGCTTTCAGAGGGTCAACAGCTCACAGAGACTACAGTACTGCCTCGATCAGCACCACTTTTAACAGATCTGAGTCCTGCGGTGAGACAAAGTCCCATCGTACAAACAGTTGCAAAAGGGGATGGGCAGCTCTGCCAGCCTTTATCAGGCTTTTGCCCCCCTTGACAGCTCCTTTGCCCAGATGGAGGTCCCCACTTGCCATTCAGAGGCACTCACAAGTCACCTCATGCCTAAACATTATAATTATACATAAAGGTACTAAAGCAAGTTTCAGTGAGTTAACCTCACAGTACAGGTATACAAGACGATGACCATTTACCCTCTCTGGACACATGTTGTTAGACCTGCACCGTACCAGCAGCAACCATTGCAACCACATCATGCATATAATATTTCAACCGTAACTATGAACCCAAATATGAAATGAGGTCCTGACTCATTCCACCTAAGGCACCTGAGATGACTGCATCCAGAGTTAAGTCTCCCTATTGCATAGCCAATGAGAAGAGACAAGACATCTCCTGCGGATGTTAACAGCCCTGAGAACACACATGACCCCCTCGGCATCAGCACTTGTATTTTCGACTGCGCAGCTAGGAGCCTTCACCAACGGGAGCAGCTCAGCTCTCCCTGCTGCAGACAGGGAAACAACACTGACGCACAGATAGATAAATGCTAGGAAGGCACCAGGATCAGCTTCATCTTATCTGGGTCAATCTTTCAGCCATATAATGAAACAAAAATCTCCTGGGGACCTTAGAACAAAATGTTTTTTTGGTCTAGCAACTATGCCTCCCCCTCCAGGCTCCATGTGGACTGCAGGTTTAACCTCATCCTCCTGCAAAGACACCAGCAGGAGCAGGGGCTCCCTTAACTCCATTGACTGCTCCACGGCTCCATGCTTCAGGCAACGCGGCACTCAGCTGTGTATGCCTATTAGGGCTCTAATATTGGAAATAGAAGTGGAACAGACAACCAAGGTAATTTAATCTATCAAGATAATTCACTTTCAGTATTAACCCCCATCCCCTCCCACTGCCCCAAATGCATCAGTGACAAGTGCCCAGCCTCTTCCTGATGGAAATTGTATGCTTATTATTTTTACCCTTCACTCCATACTAACTGTAGAAACGTCTGTATCCGATTCTGAGCTTATTGATATCGCATGAGCAGGGACGGCTTCCACAGAATTAATGACATTGCTAATACTATAAAGCAGGATGGAGATATGAATTGGGCACCTGTTACTTAATGCAACTCTCTGAAGTCAGATTTAACTTTCTGGATGTTTTTTCTTGCTGTTGCTGCTGTTGGTTACTGAAAGTATGAAGCTCCACATGTCAACCCTCTTTTAGCTTAAAGCCATTACCCCTTGTCCTATCACTACAGGCTCTGCTAAAAAGTCTGTCCCCATCTCTCTTACAAGTCCCCCTTCAGTACTGGAAGGCTGCAGTAAGGTCTCCCCAGAGCCTTCTCTTCTCCAAGCTGAAGAACCCTAGCTCTCTCAGCCTGTCCTCATAGAAAGGGTGGTCTAGCCATCTGATTATTTTTGTGGCCCTCCCCTGGACCTGCTCCAACAGGTCCATGTCTTTCCTGTGCTGAGGGCTCCAGAGCTGGATGCAGGACTTTTGTCGAATCAGGTTGGGGAAGTCAACTACACCCCCTCCTTCCCCCAAGGGATAATGCACAGCATCTCACACCTGCCAAGAGACTGAATTCATTCATTTCTAATGATGGCAGGCTCTCACTAGATCTCCTCCATAATTCTGAATCGGGCATTTGCATGTGGTCTTGCCAGTGACAGATGTAGCTGCTTAGCTCTCACTCTGTTGGTTCACTGCCAGCAATCTGCAGGCCAGGCAAGTTGGGAAAGTGTTACAGGTTATGAAGTGCCAGGAAAGGGAGAGAAATCAGAGTGGATTGTGGGCATTTTTAACACACTAATGTTAGTAAATGCAGAGAACCCAAACTTCACCTCCCACCCCTTCTTGCTCTACCAAGGACAGGATGCAGGTCATGAGAGCAATCATCTCACTTGTATGCTTTCCACAGCTCCACCTTTCCCTTTCAGGTTATGCGGCTGAGCTCCCTGTACATCACCCAAGCTCTTTTGGGTCACTAACACAATGTCAGTGATGTCACCGCTTCAATGATCAACCCCGAAGCACAATGCGATGATTGTTTCCCCAACTCACATTCACAGTGCATTTGTTCCAGTGGGCTTGAACATGAGGGGATGAGGCAGGCTAGGTTTTCCTGCTCAGTAGGTTTTTGCTCCAATCTAATTAAAAATATTCAACAATTCAGTGAAGTTCCTTGCAAGCTGCATGTGTCCCATGCTTTAAAATAAGCTCTAAAAACAAACAGCCTGGTATTTTATTTAAATGCACTCCCCAGATGGAGAGGATTCCTCAGAAATGTCTTTGTGATACTATACCGAAGCTGCTGAACCAGAAAAGTTGAGCTCCTCTGAACTATCTTGGTTTTGTTGTTATTGTTAATGGCTTTTTTTCTCATCTAAAAGCTAACAAGGAAAGTCATTCTTGGTTCTCTGACGTGCAGAGAAGTGACAGTACAGCTCACTGGAAACAGGCAGCTCTGGACACCTTGGTCTGAAACTGGGTCAGGGATGTCAGCTTATGGTTATGCTCAAGGAATATGCAAGTAATATTGGGGATTCAGATGCTGAGGACAAGACCATCTTTTTCTTGCAGGCAGAACTCAGGTAATTCAGCTTTAGTGCTCTGAGAGAAGGCAGCCTCCTCACAACCAAGGCACGTTCTATGCACGATTTTTTAAAAAGGCCCCATTTCTGGGAAACTATGCTAACAGCCAAGCCAACCCCCACAGTGCCATACTAACTTAATCCGAAGGCAAGCCACCACTGGGAGATGGCCACTGCAGGGCATTATGTTGGTGGTAGTGGGAGAACGTGCACTGATGGAAAGTCAACCTAGCTCCAAACAGCCTTAACACTGCTGGAGAAATTCAGTGGGAAAGACTACATAGACTTAACACGTTATGCTTTTAACTCCATCCCTGATACTGAAAACAGACCTTTTGCCTGCCAAGAGTCACTCCAACCTGGAGAACTGCAGCAGAGTGTGGTGCACACAAAAAGCCTGTGAGCACGTGAGGAAGGCTCTTATCATAGAAACACAGAATCATTAAGGTTCGAAAAGACCTCTAAGATCATCAAGTCCAACAGTCAACCCAACACCATCATGCCTACTAAACCATGTCCCCAAGTGCCACATCTACACGTTTCTGAACACCTCCAGTGATGGTGACTCTACCACTTCCCTGGGCAGCCTCTTCCAATGTTTGACCACTCTTTCTGCCATCAAACAAGTGAGAAAGGATCCTCTGGACCGGCTAGCTATCACACCACCAAGCTAGTTTGGCTAGCTCCAAACTCAGTTCCTTTCTCGGGAACTGTCCCTAAATGCCTCAAAAAACGCCTTTCCTCATCTCCAAAAGCAGAGTGCCCTTAAGCTGTACAGCTGAGAACAAATGCCTTCAGGGTTGTAACAACCAATTAAGGGATGTGAAGCAATTACTTTTATACCCATGCAAATGAAACTCCTCCAATGCAATTAACTGTCCCTTATCATCTACTGTTGAATTTGTGGAAAGCATATGCTGTACACTCTCTCCTCCCCTAGCTTTTCCACAATTTTAATCAGTTTGTTTTAGCTAATGTAATGGAACCCACCTATTCTAGAGAAGTAATATATGGCTGCAAATTATCCGAATATTTTTAAATGTCTTTTTTCATTTTAAATATAATTTCGTTTGAGATTTTGCAGCTTTCATTTCTATTAATAAATTATCATTTCTTCTTTATAAGTGATGAGCTAGTGTGTCATGTAATTTTTTCCTCTAAATAGACCAAGACTTTGATCTAATGCAAGCCCTTGCTGGGAGTAGAGAGACTTTCTGTCTAATTTAGTTACGAAAAATATTCAATTAAACTTGGGAGTTTAATTCATGTAGTTATGAAAATTAAATGAGCTCAATAAGGTACATTTGATTTGCCTCAGGGAAAAAAAAAAGAGAAGAATCTCTGAAAGGGGAACAAATAAGAAGAGAGAACAAAAGTAAAACTTTACTGCTCATGTTGAGAGGTGGATAACATGAAGAGCCTGAGTTCTGTTTTGTGTGCCTATATAAAACATATCCACAATGAGTTCATGCAAAATTTATATTCAGAAGCAACATGAATATCTGGTATTAACGCTCTAATTATCTCCTGGGTAACAAAAAAAATCCCTGTAGGTCATAACTGAGTCCATCCCAGTCAAGGAAGGATCTGGCCCCTCACACTGGGAAGACACAACCCACAGAAAACTCCTCTCAATCTCCATTTGGGGGAAAAAGGAAAATATTGGAATTATTTTTCAAAATCAGAACAAAGGAATATGGATTTCTCTGACAGAAGCCCTCTTCTAGTTTTGCAGCCTTCACTTACCATTTTTGCAGATAGGACAGCACTGATCGGGCTCATACACCGGATCCACGCACTCAGTCTGGGGACAAGCTGAGACGGTGCAGAGCACTTCACCGTTGGCTTCACAGCGGCACTTCTCACACGGAGACACCTGAAACACAAATCCAGCCACCGTTTAACTCTTGTGCTTAATACCCTCCTGAAGTGTGCAGTGCCTACCTTCCCATCTGCTTTGTTCTTCACCTTTTTTTTCTCCCCACTTTAAAACAAATGCTTTTTGTCATCTGAATAGTGCAGAGAGCGGGACTCTGCAAAACCACAGGATAAAAAAACACAGGTTCTGCTCTGAACCTGTGCACCAAATGGGAAAGTCAAAGGGATCTCGGGAACAAGAACACTTTACACTTTTACCACAAATAAAGCAAAAACTTCCCTACCATGTTTCTAATGAACTTCCAGCAAATTAAGTTCATAATTTAGATGAAACCTGGTTTAAGCCTATTAGAGATTTAAAGGTAATTTAGCAAAAATCACTGTATTTAAAGAAGAAAAATTTTGCTAGGTGGAATATGAAACTTCTTTTAATGGAAATCCTTCCTGCAATTTTTCCAGTTTTTAAAGCTTTTTGGTAGCAGGAAGTTGCATTTTATTGAAAATTATAATTTTCAAATAGAAGTCAGGAAAAAAATGTGCTTTGAATTCAGGTATTTCCCATAGGTTAATTGTATTTGGATGATTCTTCCAATACTTGTAACTTTCTGAAAAGAAACTGCAATTCAAAGAAAGGGGTAAAACAAAATACAGGTCATCCTTTTTACCTACTGAAATGTTACTGGTTTTAAATAACTCTACAGAATGAGACAATTACTTAAATGACCTACTTCAATGAAATTAATTCCAAACAAAACAGCATCAAGGCTCTACTTAGGAAAAAATGAACTTTCAAATGTCTGCATTTGCCACATGTACAATTCCAGCTGTCCTTTTCAGTGTCCCTGAGCATGCGCTGCACATCCTTATACCACACAAGGAGCGGGAGGTAGAGGGAAGCCGGGGTGCTAAAGAGCAATAGATGACATACTGTAACTCTCATTGCCGTATTCCAAAAACCACACTGGCATCCATGCTCAGAGCGCAGGATGAAAATGCAGCTGAATGTTATTATTACTGATCCTCTAAATCTATAATCTGTGCAGATTCTTGGTTTACTTACAGATGAGGTGGGTTTTTTATGGACCCTTTTTAATTCCAGATTCTAGCTGATGCAAACAACTGCTCATTGCATTTCTCCAATAAAATCAGAGTAACCTCAAATCCAAAAGGAAAAAAAAGTTACTCTCTGTGAAGAATCATCCAGATGTCTAACTTGCAGATCATCTGTTTCTTCTCCCTCTTTCTTAGGCAGCCCATCACACTTTTTCATCAAATCCATTCTCTGCTCGCTTGCCTCTTTCACATCCTTCTCACTTCCAAAGTTCAAACATGCTGATGCTTGCACAGCATCATCTCCAACTAAATGCTCATCCATGCTTTGCCACTTCTCTTCCCACCTGCCAGGGCTGCTATTTGCTTATGCACTCACATATCTTCCATGCTGTCCCCTCTGCTTAAAAAGCCTAAACAGAATCTCTTGCTGTGGTGCTTTCTGCTTTTATTACTATTATTTATTTCAGGCTTCCTTTGCTAGCTGCTGACTTCCAGTTTTCTCTTTGCTTTACACTCTACCAACGATAACATCACACCATACATTTATGCTACAAGGAGGCTGACAGCCCAGTACCACAGATTTTTATTGCAGGCTTTGGGAGAAGAACTTTGTCCTGTAATCATTTATAAACTGCCACATTCACTTGAAGAGCTGGAGTGTCAGCGGATGAGGAGGTTTCTGATGCAGTCTTCAGTGTCAAGAGCCTCAGGTATCCCAGGTAATCACTTGAACTGCATGTGAAATTTTGAGCATCAGCAAACCTGAGCTCCTAACTATCTGCAAGTCAATAGTAAGAGTCCTTCTCTCTGGAGTTATATCCAGAAACAATACTTACTAAATTATGAAAACATGATTTTTAAGGAGGACTTTTTTTTTTAATTATTTTTAAGGAATCCTGCTTGATCAAAGCTACCATAACTCAATTCCAAGGATCAGGCTCAACAAGGCAAATTTAAAGCTTTCAATCAGTTTTACCATTTTTTGCCATCACCTGAAAAAGACGCAAATTTGCCAGTCATCACAGCTCAAGATCAGTAACTACAACAACAGATATTCCCACTCACAGGACACTGCTTAGAAGCCACGCCATTCAGTATTAGAAGTGATGTAAAAACTAGAATATGTGATGGTAATCAGGAAACATGACAGCACACAGATGTTATTCCCAAAATCTCTCATCTGTGAAATTTAAACATATTCTAAGTAGGTTGTTTATTAGAATTCCAAATTTGACAGAAGCCTAAAATTCTTAGCACAAGAAGCCATTTAATGAAGCACTGAAAGCACTATTGAATGAGAAACAAAATTGTTCTAGTCTTTATCTAATAATGATGATTCAGAATAATGCACTTCTGTCCTATACAGCACATACACTTGAAGACTACATCTTTTCATGAATGGAGTACATTGTTAAGGCACTACTGCAGTCATGAATACCCTTCCTGTGTAATAGATCATGGGATTTCAGGGGAATATATATAGTACACCTTTAATAAGTACTGTCACCTGTATAACCCACCAATATAAGTAACGGTAGCAGAGTTAGGGAAGGTCTCCATACGGTTGTTTCTACAAAGCTCTTTTCAGGCATGTAAGTCAACCACAGTGGCTGCTAGAATGGTATTAATGTCAACCTTTATCTGTCCATCTTTGGACTAAACAGTAGTGCATTGCTTTTTATATATCATCAGGTTATAGCAGCAACCATAGAAAAACCTCACTTCTTTCCGCATCCTAATGGCAGTTTAATACTTGGAGACATAATCATCACTAGAGAGAGAGACAATAGGACAGTGTGTATATGTAACAACAGCTATATAAATCAGAATGAAAAGACACATTTGGTCCTTCATTTCCTCTCTTCTACCCTCATAACGTAAGCACATTCCCTGCAGCGCAGTTCCTAGCGGCAGCCAATGCAACAAGCATCCCACTTGCTCATCTGGGAAACGACCAGCCCAGCAGCACATCTGACATAACCAGGCTGGACTGGAAACAATACCACCCATCAATCTCTGTGAAGACTGATGATACCACTCCTCTGTGGTCTACAGACAAAGCTATTAACTCTAGAGCAGCAGTAGTTCTGCCTATGCAAAGACCTGTGGGAAGACAACAAGAGGCCCAGAAGTCTTAAATATTCATCAGGCAGCTGTAAAACCTGTAGAAACCCGAGGACAGATGGCAAAAAAACCCCTTCTTTAGAATTGTTTAAAGGGAAGTTTATGAGCAGATGAATAAACGGAGTTGCAGATATTGTAAAAAAGCAAACACACCATTGTGTAAACAGGTGGATTTCCCACCAGTGGGGCATGAAGAAAACTGTAGCTTAGTAAGGGTAGTACGTTTACCCAGCAACTTAGTGTAAGTTGTCATAATTAAGAAGTGACAAATCATTTGCACTCATTGAAGTTCTGGTTCCAAAGTAATTTGAGCTTTCTCCTTCCCCTTTCCACATGCCAAACTTTAATTAAAAAACAAAACAAAACAAAAACAAACCAGCAAAAAATCTGATTTAAAAAAACCCAACAAACTACATTTGGTTCCTTGAGCCTTGAAAATATCTAAGTTAGAAAAAAAAAATTTCAAGCAAAATCCCAAACTTATTTGCTATTGTGCTGGAATTTTTATTAGTATTTCCTTGCCACTTACACAACTCAGGAGAACATGAATGGGGTTAGGCTGACAAGAATAAACATACCAGCCTTGTTTTTACTTCTCTGTGCATTCAAAATACCACAGATGTTTCAAAATCCATTTGGGTTTGCTGACTTCTTGATTTCCAAGTAACTTATTCACAAATAAATACAATTTTTGGTAGCAGAGAAATTCTAAAAAAGACACACGAAGCAACAACTTTAAAAAATGTAGGTCTTTCCCCAACATTACACTTCAGAAGATAATTTATGGTCCTTGTAAGGCTATGATCTTGTAAGTCAGCCTGCGTTTTCAAATCTTATTGTAAGATTGAAAAACATCTAGTGGAGCACATGCTCAGCAATCTCCAGCTCCAGTACAGAATTTTATCCTCATTGTATTTCGCCAACTGAGGCTTTTGCTCCCAGTTCCACTGGTATGGATGCTGTGATCCCTCTGTCATTCTGCCTCATGACACCCACAGGGGAGTAGAGTGGTGCTGACAGAAACAGCTTTATGAGACCTCATCCTTCCCCCACACTTGTGTCGTGTTTTGTGTCGACATCCATGTCCCTTTTGAAAATAGAAAAATGCATGCATACACACACATAAACAAAGCCTGCAGGAAGGACTGGAATCAAAGAAGAAATGCATCAAATCTCCCATTCCTTGGCACACTCAGCTTCTGAGTTAGCACTGGCTCCGGTCAGGGCAATTTTTTGCCATGCCAAGTCATATACAACTTTTATATAAGCAAACTCCCAAACTTGCATGCATATTGACACATCTATACATAGAAGTTTTCGCAGATAACATCACTTAAAAGTTAGGAGGTCACCTTTTTCTTCTTTCAGGGATGTCTGGTACTCTTTGCTACAAATAGTAGGTGCAGGCATAGAGAAAAATCTCATCGCTATCCATTTATAGCTCCTTCCCTGACTTTAATCAAGAGACAGCATATTAGTAACCTCTCTAAGATCATCAACTTTAAACTTGTAAAATGACCTTTGAAACCACATGCAATTACCTGCATTTGCAATTGCTTTCACTGAGCAGCAGCAACCTGACTACGTCCGTACCTTACCTCGCTAGACATCTCCACTGATTGCAGTGGCACGGGCAAACAGTGGCATTTACAGTTTTGTGCTCACAATATTAGAACCAATGTTGCAGCTCAGCTAAAAAACAAGGTCCTCACACATCAAAATAAACAGGCTGCAGTTCCACTGCCTAACTGTGTCTGTAACTTTCGTTGTGCATCCCGAGCAGGCGTCCCTTCTCACTTGTGCTTCCAAAGCTGGCTAACACAAAGCGGTAAGGGAAATGATGTTTCATTACAGGAAGGTATCAACGCAGGAGCCGAAGGCTGAATAGGGTTAAAAAGAAATCTGAAAGCCAAAGTCTTTTCAGAACATTTCTGTAAATGTCACCGTTCAGCACTGCCTTTCTACCAAGGCTGCCAGCCATGTTCAAATGTAACAGGGAGCCCTAAGGTTTTATTCTCTCACTACACGTTTAACTATTGTGTTTAGGCTTGCTTTACAGCCACGAATACGACACCGCTATATAAAAAGACAAAGAAATGCAAGTCCTCAGAAGAGTGAATGAAGAGTGGGAAGAAGCCTTTAAACTTTGACCTACAGAGAACATGTGCAGAAGCATCACTGATTTGGCCACCCCTCAGAATTAACTTCACTGGAAAAGGAAGGCTCTCACAATCCATCTCCAAAAAGATCACACCAACTAGCTGCTGCTAGAAGTATTCTCCTCCTCAAAGTAGAAAAATGCCACCCCAAAGCTGAATGCAGTCCTTGAGGGTGACATGGAAAAAGGGAGGATGATACAATGCCTTCTGCCGTGCTTTGAAATCCACCAGTGCTCTACACATTACTGCCTAAAGAGAGCAAGGGGAAACACTGTGATTTATTTTGGAGAGAGTAATCCTGCCCCTTTATTTATTTATTTTGCAGTAAATTGAAGAACATGGAAAGACATTATGAATGAAAGTTCAGTTTCCAAGAACATGCAAATACCACAGAGAGCAGAGGTGGTGACTTATTTACAGCCTTCACAAATGCATTTTCTTTTTCTCCATCCTGAGAGGGGCTCAAGCTTCCAGAGCCCCGAACTCGACTTTGTGCTCCCCTCAGCATATTCAGCTCAGAAATCTCTGGTGTGTTCAGAAATGGGTTTTGGACCAGCACTGTACCTAACAGTCATTTGCAAGCAAATTCTTAGAGCCTGCTCACAGATCTCAGCCACAATAAAATACTAAAGGGGAAAAGGCAAGGTAAGCAACCAGGAAATTGGCCCCAACTCCAAAACTTTTCAGTGCGCTGTAGTAAGTTTTATTTTCAATGATAATGACAATAATGCTAAAAAGGCCCTAGTCTAAAAGGATTTCCCCAAACATAAATATTTTCCAATCCTTTGTTTAGGTATCACTGTAATCCAGATTGCGAACCATGCTCTCATTAAAAAGAAGGCCCATAGTGATTCTCAGAAAGCAGCTGTTAGGCAACCTTGGCAGCACAACTGAAATGGTTAAAAAGGAAAAGAGAAATTACTGTTATGAAAAAAGTATCATCACAGGCTGATTGCCTGGAATAGAAGACAGCCCACAAAACCCTGTTCGATCCCTGCAAGGTAGAAGTTTCACTGTTAACAGTTAAACAAGGAAACAAATGTATTGCTGAAAATTTTCATCAAATCCACATCACCACCGAGCAGCACCCTTTCAAGTAGCATTTTTTACTGTAAATACCAAAGGAATGAGTAAAGATCAGCCCCCTCATTTAAAAATGTTACAGTATCATAGAGCAAGAAAGGTCATGTTTAAGGGATATATTTTACAGCACTGCAGAAGTCGTGTTAACATAGAAATGAAAAGGGGAGGGGGAGACCCTGGACACCCTCTGAGAAAGCACTCGAAGAACATGATGCCACTTTATACGAGAGCAGGACCCACAAAATTACTTTTGGCTTCAGCTCTTACCATGAACTCCTCTAGGGTCTGGTAGGTTTTCCCTCGAAACTCGCAGTAGTTCTTCCTCTCCTTGCACTGCGGGCAGCACTGTGTGGTGTCCACATGGACGCACCGAGGGTGGAGCCTGGGGCACTCGGGCTGTATGCACAGCGGGCCCTCCTCGGTGCAGAGGCAGGGGCAGGCGGAGGGGCCCGGCGCAAACTTCTCTCCGATGGCATAGACGAAGCCACTCTCGTCCACGCAGCCCTTCCCACGGTAGTCGGGGTAGGCATACTCCTCCGGAGGCTCAGGCGTGACACTCGCAACAGCTTCTGGGAGAGACGCATCTTCAGCCACCTGAGGTTCCTGGGGAGCGGCGTCCATTTGCTCTTGCGCTTGAATGCTCCCAGATTTACTGCTCGTCCCTTGGCTGTTCCAAGCCTGCTTCTGCTTAGCCCAAGACTCCTTGTTCGAGTAGTTCCTGTTTCCTTTGCTCTTCCAGTCCCTGCT